AGTAGCTCTATTTTAGGTGTGATACCATGCTAGACGAGAATTATGTGTTTAGTTCTATTTTAGTTAGTTGAATTCAATGTTATTATTATGGTATAATGAAGTATGCTTGGCCTTATTCTAGGATTATACTAGTTTTTTCCTTAGACCAACGATACTTGTGTTATTTAGGACCTATTTATTCTCCGACGTCGTCTTAGATGGTTTAACTCATAATAAACTGAAGTAGCAAACTTAAGTCTAATAGAACGAGCCTTAGTTTAGGTGTCGATGAAGTTTTTCAAAGTTTCTATTCACTCTTCCAATTTCGATGGCTCATTGCGATACTAGAGGTTTTATGTTTTATTTGGTAACTTAAGATTGGAGTCGTGCAGGCGGAGAGCCTTTTATTGATTCCTTGGGTTAAATGTTGTTCCACTGTAGTTTGGGTTATAGATGATACATGATACTTCGATATTATTATTGGTACCTTGAGTTTATTCTTGCTAGCTATAACTCAAATTTTAGAGCATAAAAACAAGCCATGTTAGCCTACAATAACTCGAATTTTCCTCGAATGGAGAGCCTACAATAGTTCCAACCATCCACACACATATCCCCAATAGTTCATGATTACAAGACTTCAAACCACTAAAAATGGAGTTAAATTGATAGTACAATTGCTGATGGAAGTTGGTACTTAAAGGTGCCTTGTATTTTGCTCTTTGCTAATGCAACTTAGAGGTGCCGCAAATGCAAAAAAGCAAGATGTTTAACCTTTGCAAATGTTGCAAGAATCTTTCAAACATGAAGGCAAGAAAAGCTAAGGTCCTGGGAATGCGGTCGAGTCCCTCCTAAAAGCGAAGGCCAGAGCCTAACCCTTTTCAAATGTGGCCTGGACCCTGAAAAGGCGGTGACCAAATCTCATGGTCTCTGCAAACACAGCCCAAGGCTTAAGAAAGCTAAGACTAAATTTGGCTTGCACCAACGAATGCATGTCAGCTAGTTTTTGCAACTTGAAAAACTCTGACGGGGTATTTCGATTTCGTTCAGCATCTCGTATATACAAACGAAATATTCTACCCTAAAAAAATTGATATTTTGGATTAATGGTACATATAAATTTTCATGCGAGATCATAGCTACAAAAAGTGGCCCCAAATCAAAACTCCATTTAAGCCAACATCCAAGGGGACTCGGAATTAGCCTCGAGATTTGCACAAAGGGTCGTTCAAGAGAAAATTCCATATTTTAGAGCTAACAACACTAATGGAGTTCTCATTCGAGCACGTTTATGAATAAAATTGACCAATGACAAACTTGAAAATTAAAACGCCTACAAACTCGCTCCAAAAGCCTTGTTAGGCGTGTCAACCATGTTGCTGGCCCAAAATGACCCTCGTGGAGCTGATGGAATTGTCAGAATTGGATTCTGAGGTCATTTATAAATTTTTGATCGAAAATGACTATTCAAGGTTCAAAAGCTCCTGAATATATAAATTCACATAATAACCAAACACAGGACTAACATGGTGATTGACCTGATAGTCTCAAGATGTTATAAATGACTTGAGGTCACTATAAAAATGCTAGAAATGGTGAATAGATGAAACAAGCCCCAAAATTACCTACAGAAACATTACAAAAGTAATATTGACTCATTATAAAAGGAATAAAAAAGTATTATTTTCATGGACAATGCAAGGGAAAGTTATTATACTTGAACAGTGGAAAAGATAGTTTAAATTATGTCCTGATGAAAAGTTTTGCTTTTTGTTTTTAGACAAAATGAATTTTTCCTTCTCTTGTTGTGTTCTACTTTAATATTTATTTTATTTTTAGTTGATCTTAACCCTCAATACACAAGCTGTATAAAAATGTGATATTGTAGAAAAATTAATGTTAATAATTGTTCTGAGTGATGAAAAATGAAAGGATGGTGGTTTCAATAACGCATTGATTCGATTAGAAATATTTCATTGTTTTTAATTTCATTGATTAGTGTAGTTTGTGTTTGATAGCATGTGATTACATTGTCAACAAGTAAAACAAATAAAATGAATCCTAGGAGAATCATGCGTTCTCTATTGATTATTTTAATTTCAGTTATATCAAAGCTTATGATTTTCTTATTTCCTAGTCACAATCTTCTTCCTCAAAAAACAATATTCCTAAATTGTTGTTGATGCATGATTTATTTGGCTTTGAATTTTTTTCAACATGTGTAGTTTACTAAATTAAGAGAAAATTAGTTATAATTATTTAGTTTAGTGATTCAAGTAACTAATTGATCTATTTAAAAATAAGAAACAAATAAGACCATTAAAATTGAAGAAGTACAATAATTGAGATGAACTCTTGATGATTAGAATAGAAAAAGAAGAAGAAGATGATCTTGAGAATTCTATATTCATTAGAATTGAATCCATTGTTACAATGAGTTGATTAATACAACTTATATAGGTGTTTAGCCCACTATAACCCTAACTAACGATTAACTAATTTAACAAACTCCTAACCGATTAATTAATCCTAGTTATGTGTAATTACAAATAGACCCTTTAGGACTTTAAGTAACTCCTTCTTCAACACTCTCCTCAAGTTAAGTACTGCAACCCCTCAAGTTAGGTACTGCAAATATGTTTTGTATACCTAAATTTGAACTCAAAAAATCATGTTGCACTCTGGATAATCTTGTTGTTAATACATCAACATGTTGCTTACTTGTAGAAATCTAGTTAGTTGAAATCAGTTCTTGAATAACCTTTTTTCCAACGAAATGACAATTTATTTAAATGTGTTTAGTCCTTTAATAGTACACTAGATTTGCAGCTATTGTATGGCAACCTTGCTATAACTATACACGTTGAGCGAAGACTAACACCAATACCAAGTTCCTTTATTAGCACAACTATCCAACTATCTCTGCGATAGTGGAAACTAAGCTCCTGTATTCTGCTTCAACTGAGCTCTTGGAGACTGTTATTTGTTTCTTAGAATTCCAAATGATGAGAGAATATCCCATTATGCATCACAGTAGGTTGCTATCACATTTTTCTTATTACTGGATAGTAAGACCCCTTAGCCTGGTTTTTTATTCCAGATACTTGACTATTCTGAGTGTTGCTTACATATGAGACTGCTTGGGACCTTTTAAATATTAACATACATTCTGAATGCAAAATGATATATCATGTCTACTCATGGTAATATATAGAAGTTTACCTATAAGTCTTTGATATGATCCTTGATAAGCAATATGTTCTGCTTGATTAGTGCCTCTGAAAATATGATCACCATACTCCTTAGTTGTTAACTTAACATTTATCTCCATAGGAGTCATAGAAGGATTTACCTCTCCAAGGCCACTTTCAGAAATGATTTCTAATGTATGCTTTGTTTGATGCATTAGAATTCCTTCCTTGGACCTAGCTAATTCCATGGCAAGATAATACCTTAACCCTCCCAAGTCCTTCATGTTAAATGTTTTTTGTAATGCATCTTTGGTTTCTTCATTTAGATTGAGATTGTCACCTACAATAAGCATGTCATCGATATATACTAATACAATGGTCATACCTTTTGTGCTCCTTTTAGTAAATAGAGAATGATCATATTAACAATGTGGAAAATGCCTAGGTGCTTGTTTTAACCCATAAAAGGATTTCTTGAGCCTGCATACTGCCTTATTCTCCCCTGACTCTGAATCCTTGAGGTAAATCCATGTAAATATAATCAAACAAATCACCTTGTATAAAGGCATTAAAGATATCCATTTGATGAAAGAAGACACCTATTACTCAAGGTATGAATACATTGGATTTGACTTCTATTTTTACATGTGGTGCCATTGTCTATATGAAATTATTTTCTATAAGTTGGTGTACTTGCATGATATATAGAATCATTGTTGTTCTAAGTTTTTATTAAAATTAAAAAATTATATATGTGTTTATATAATTTTTATTGTTAATATTCAATTTATTGAATTTTGGACAAGTGTTCCTCAATTTCTTATCTTAGATTCTTTTTCATATTTGGATATAGATCATGATTAAAAATAGTGTGAACATTTGACTACAGATCTAATATTAAATAAACTTTAATATAGTTGGTTATTTTAAGGATTAATATATATATATGAATTTTTGAATCCAGAAAATGTACATAAATATCTCAAATAGTTAATATATTTTCATTCATATGTCAATTTCTATGAGAATATTTATCTCCGAACTTAAGTGAAAATCTAATCGGTGAAGTAATATCAATATGATCTAGAATAAGAGAAGGCTCTAAAGGTTTTAGATGCGTCTATGATGCCTCATAATATATTTCCAAATTAATGCAGTTCTTTTTAAAACAATCTAATATTGTTCCACATGAAAAATTGGATCTCGTAAAAGACATGTATCTTTATATGATATTTAGAAGAGCAAGGGGGTTATAATATCATAGGTACAATTTTAGACTAGGCATTTATAATGTAATTTGTGCTTGATAACATGTGATTACGTTGTCGACTAGTAAAAAAATAGAATGGATCTTGGAAGAATGGCGTGTGCATGATTAATTTCTTTTTCAACTTCTTATTTTACTTTTATTTTAATGAGCTTATTATAGCTTTATACTACATATCAAGATTCAATCTATTATCTGTGTAGAATTTTGATTTTCCCCCTTTGTTAGTTGCTTTTGCATTTAAAGTCTATTTTTTAAGTATATTGTGTGTACAGTATCACGTTGGATATTCACCTACAACACTACACTACATGGGTCTAAACTTTAAATATAAAGGTAGTCGAAAGATGGAAAAAGGGGGTTTGGACAATCAAAACTGAATCTTAAAAAAAATTCTAAGTGTTACATTGTTTATTTTTGACATTTTACTATGCCTTTGTCCACCATTTCATCCATTATTTTTATTAGTATTACTTTTATGAAATTAAACTTTTAGTTTATATTTTCTAATACTTTGTTTGATTTATAAGTCGTTGTGGAAATATATTTTGCACAAGGAGAAGATGGAAGCATGTTTTGATGAGAGCGAGAAGGGCTGCCTATTGAATAATGGAAAGAGTCCTTTCTTTACTGTAATGATTGAAGAAGGCTTCTTAGAAGTTCTGGTAAAGTGTGGTTCTTTATGTATGCTTGTTTCCTCAACTATCCACTTGTTTATGTGAAATTTTGAGCAACCCTATACACACAATACAATTGTGATATTAAAACTCATCCTTAATTGCCTTTTAAGCTCTGTAAAAGAAAATTCATGTGAACTCAGAAAATCACGGGTTTCTTCTCGGTTATGATAACCAACTCTTAGGAAAAAGAGTCAGTGGCATAGCCGCGTGTAGTGAAGGGTGGCCAATAGAGTATTCTTTGACGAAAAATTATAGTATATAAGTAGAAATTACATAGGTCAAAAATTATTTTTCATATGCATCGACTAAATATTCAATACTCTTAACAGGATTTTTTTATTTAATTTATAGGAATTTTGCAAGAAGAATTTTCTACAAGTTAGTAATATGAGAGTTTTTGAAGTCACTGTCACTTTTAAATGACAAAGTGTGAACGAATATATTGCTTAATGTTTTTTTCTTTCATGATTTATTTTGGCTTCGTGATCACTATCCTGTTTTAAAAGGTCACTTTTCAGTTTTCAACGAGCTTAAAAAAGATGGAATGTTTTATGTTTGTAAAATTAAGAAAGAAAAAAATGTGTATAAAATTTGTATTATAAACAATTGTACCACCCCAAACCCAGAAGACTTCCAAGAATATAGTCGTAAACTTGTTTTATACATCAAAATGTGGTATTTTTTTGTATAATTTAAGGAAACCAATTTCAGTTATTTCCTCCAAAGTTTGCTAAATCGGTTTCACATATGATTGATCGAGAAATCAATCTGGAGGACTCATGTGGACTATTATGGAGGGTAACAGTATGTAAGCATAACGGTTCACTGGCTATTAAACAAGGATGGCCGGAGTTTTCATCAGGACATGATGTGAAAGTGGGCGAATTCATAGTGTTTCAGTATGTTCCTAGTGATGAACACTTCATTGTTCAAATATTTGGAACAAGCGGTTGTGAAAGGAGGACTCTTCCAAAACCAATTAGCCTAGTGGGTTATTTGCATCAAGTAAAATATAATCTAACAGAGGACAATCATGGTATGTTTTCTGTTCATAACACTTCATTGTTCAAATGTTTATGTTGTGTTGTCTTAAACATTCTGTACTTTCAGCATTTTCTTACTGTTATTTTTTGTTGTTCTTATGTAATGAAAAAGTTGTCAGAAGTGAGCTTGCTGATTCAAGAGACACACCATCCGTTAACACAATCAACTATTGCTGTTTGGTAGATGTTAATGGTCAGAATTTTCTGGTAACAAATATCATTCCATCTTTCATTTTCGTGGATTGTAATATTCTTGATGTTTGATTGAATATTTATCAATCTACATTGCTTGAGTTTCAATATGTTTCAAGTTTAGCGCCTTCGAAGCATGATATTTCAAAGATGACACTAATGTTTCTTTAAATCTAAAGAGAATGACTAAATGTTTTCTAATTGAGGATGTCTTGAAGAATTGTGAGGTTTGATTTTCTATAAATAGATGAATCAGTTCATTAGTTAGACCTCTCTTTATCGTTCTTGTTTTTTTTTATCAAAGTAACTAACTGATTTCCATTCTTAATTAAGTGTGCAGACATTTTATTGCCAATAATAAAAATTGCTTCTTTGATTTATTATATAAAGAGGAAAGTTTCATTTAGAAGCATTAATTTTCTTATAAGAAAAATCTACGTTTATATTGTTTTTTCTGAGAGTTCTATCATCACTTAAACATACATTGCATTGATGTTCTTGAGTTTCAGTTTATTCTCTTCTTTTGTGACTTTAGGCTGAAATATTCTTTATTTCCTAGTCTATGTATTTATCGTTCAATCTAAACCGCCTTTATGTCTGTATAGAAATTATCAGAATCCTGGCGAAAATATTTGCCCGACGGACAAAAATTTGGAAGGTGCATTGTTTTTCTTCGAAGTCCAGATAAAAGAATTTGGCCTACCTATTATCATAGCAGATCAAAGTTTGATGTTTTAACAAGTGGATGGGATAAAGTTACTGCAGCTTATGACATGAATGCGGGAGATAAATGTCTTTTTCAACTTGTAGATCAGCAGGGACGTCTATTTAATGTACGCAAAGTATTTGGAGTTGATAGCCTCAAGCAGTTATAAACGGAATGAAAGATAACAGGAGCTATTCTGATTCTTCATTGATGGTCTTTTTTACCAACATTTAATCATTGTCGCGATAGTTCAGATACTTTGTACTATCATTCAACAGTTTAAACTATTACCTAGTACTCTTCCCAAATTATCATTTCATCATACACAAACTTGAAACTTGCATTGTCGTCCTGTTAAGACATGATCATGGTAACCTGTTCGAAAAAATTTGCATTTCAAACATCTGCAATATTTTAAGATAAATATTTTTTGTTTCTAGTTATAATTTATGTTTTATTTTGTATCTTAAGGTTCAATTTTAAGTAAACATGAATTGATTGTCAAATTCATGTTTTTTTTCTTTCTTAAGCTCACATATGAACTGTTATCCTATCTTATAAGGTGAAGTAACATAAACATAGTATTTAATTATATGCTTCTTACGATAAAAAAGACACTAATATCTCTAAATATACTACATATTTGAATAAAAAATGCACAAACGCGTTTGAAAAGTCCATCTCTTACGCCTTTTGTATCAGCGTGGACATGGACAGTCAAATAAGTGAAAAATAAAAGCAACAAAGAATAAAATTTTGAAGGCGATCTTTGCTATTCCTATTTTACCACCTCTTTGTTCCGTTCTAATGATTCTACAAATGTGGCTACACATAAAACACCTAGAGCCTATGCAACTATTGTTGATCTTTTATCTACTATTTTCTACCAGGGGCGGAGCTATGAAATATATGTTAAATATCGACATTTTTGGATATATATTAATTATTGCACAACCTTGACACAATAGAGGTAGATAGATCAACGGCTAAGGTTGTGCAGAGCCGCCTCAATGTTTGGGTTCAAGCTTAAGTTTAGGCATTTAGTTTGATTTTTTTATTCCATTTTTTATTTAAAAAAAGAAGTTCAAAAGTGACCTTTTTTAAGTTAAGAAAAACAGAATGTCTTCTTTTGACTTGTCTTAATTTAAAAACGTCAAAAGGTCCCGAATTCGCCCCTAGACGTGGTCAGTACTCAAGAACTCTTGTTGGTCCATAAGCGAACCCTCATCCTGACTGACTATAAGCGGAAGACTAACTTAATCACACAAAAGCTTAAAACTGAAATAAAAGTTCATAAAAGTTAAATACAAATTTAACCCAAAAGTAGACTTTGAAAAATCAAATATATACTAACCTAAAAATAGGCAACTTAAGTCTTTATAAGATTTAATAAAATAAATGAATAATATAAAATCGTCAACTATACTGACTATCTATGAAGCCTCTAACTGACAAAGATGGAAATAAGGACAAGAACCACGATATCCAGACTAAACCGAAAAGTAAATAAAATCCTCCTGAAGCAAGGAGGCTCACCATAGCTAATTGGAACTCTTGATGTATCAACAAAGCTTCTCTTGAGATCCTTAATACTCGTGTCTGCATCATGAAAAGATGCAGGCCAAATGGCTCAGTACGTGGAATGTATGAGCATGTTAGGGGAATTCTAATTCTTAACATAAGCTTGAAACTTGATAAAAATGAAAACATACTTACCACTTTTCAAACATTAAACTCAACTCAAGGAGTACTCAAGGACATTCAAAACTAAACTTACTAAGACTCATTCTATTAGACTTAAGTCTGCTACTACATTTTATAATGAGTTAAACCATCTGAAACAACGTCGGAGAATAAATAGGTCCTAAAGACAACAAGTATCACAGGTCTATGGAAAAAACTAGTCTAGTCATAAACTAAGGCCAAACATGCTTAATTATACCATAATAACAACATCCAAGTCAACTCACAAAAATAGAACTAAACACATAATCCCCGACTAGCATGGTACTACGCCCAAAATAGATCCAATCAAGTCCTATAACAATGTATCAAGAAAATCAAAAAGAAAAACTAGCTGCCCACCCCCAATTTAGTCTAATCAACATGTTATTACACATTCAACCTCAACCTAAGAGAAGGGAAGTCATAGTCTACCTATAGGCTGATCTTGGGTTCTTTAAAATCACAATGTCAGAGCCTTTCGCTTGTGAACGACCTCAAAATGTTGTCACACTATCAAAAATAGGATCACAACGCCAATACAGTCATTTCAACACCAAATACACATGAATGAAAATAGGAAAACTTTTGAATCAAATGGGAATCATATGTGTTCCAAAATGGAACACAATAGGGGCCACGGAGCAGTCAAGAGAACCAACATACAACAATTCAAAATTTACAGCACAAAAAAAAGTCATCACAACCTAAAATAACTCCAATTTACCTTGAATTGAGAGCCTACAGTAGTTTCCGACCAACGACTCACAAACACTTTTATTTAACCATCATTAAGAACAAAGTACACTTTCTTGGGTAAAATTACCTCTTTATGATAGTCTTACTCAAATATTAATTGAATAATACTCCATCCGTTCCATTTTATGTGAGGTAGTTTGAATTGACTCTATAGTTTAAGAAATAAAGGAAGACTTTTAAAACTTGTGGCCCAAAATTAATGATAAAAATATGTGTTGCTGTAAATAATTTCATTAAGGGTAAATAGACATTTTATAGTTAAATAATTACCTACTCTAAAATATATCAGTCTTTTTGGGAGAGACTTAAAAGGAAAGTAAGTCATATAAATTTGGACATAGGGAGAAATAATTTGTAAAAGATATATTACATATTAGGATAAAATATTGAAATACTTATGGTTATCCTTATTAGTGTCATGCACATATTAAATTTCAAGTATGCATATTTAAGACAAAGTTTGTACTTAAACGATATACATCATTTATGTTCATAACCACAAGAGGAAAGACTTGTGGCCACATTTTTTAAATGCGTATTTTTTTCTATTTTGTGGATTAGATATGTTTTCAAAATTCATTGAATTAATAAATATAATACTAAAGAAATGTCACTTTCTCCAATATTTAAACTTTTAATTGATTTTGAAATGTTTTAATCATATCTAGTCATTTTGATCTAAAAACTATAAGTAACTCTTTGACAATATTTTCAATTATAATTATTTACTAAAAACGTTAACTTAGTAATGCTTACAGTCTTTTCAAACATCATATACTATATACACAATACACACATGCAACAAACGTGGCGTGAAACTAATATATATATACATGTATATATACATACACACACACACACACACAAGTTTAATTAATAAAATAAACCTCAAGAGCTTAGTGTATATCAAAATAAATTAATAAACACTGACCTCAAGAGGCTAGTATATATAAATTATTATTTTATTTAAATCTAATCAACTTCTTGATGTCAATATTTATTAAATATTTGCAAAAATAGATAATTATATAAAAAGATACCGACATCCTGTGGTCGGTAAATTATTACTTGTTTTGAAAAAAGAAATAATGATTAATTTCCCTCTTCACTCAAACCCTTCCTACATCACTAGTACAAACCCATGCCCCTTGATCCACGCCGGCACCGTAGCAGCAGGAGGACGTCGCAACACTGCTGCTCGCTGGCAGCAGGTAATTTTAACTTTCAAAAATTCTTTTTTAGTCCTTAGTTAACACATATCTATTGATGTATGTTGTTTGTATTGCTGCTCTGAGCCTTGAATTGTGTTCATATTTGGAACACAAGTTCAAGGTAATATTTTAGATCTTTTGACAAAGTCAAATAGTATATTTGGATGCGGATCCCATTATTTCTATTGGATTATAAAGTTGGACCATTTTCAATTATGTATCTTTTGTGTTTAAATAACCGTATTGATGTTGTGATCTTATTTTTTTGATAGCATGAGAACATTCTGAGCCCGTTTTCAAGGGAAAGGCTCATACATTGTAATTTAGAGCAAGCGAGATTGACCGAAAGGTAGACTACGAATTCCATTCTCTTTGATTGAGGTTGAATGTGTATCTACATGTTGATTAGAGGGAATTGGGGGCGTATACCTATTTTTGCTTATTTACATTACTTGATAACATGTTTTAGGACTTGAGTAGCTCTATTTTAGGTGTGATACCATGCTAGTCGAGGATTATATGTTTAGTTCTATTTTAGTGAGTTGAATTCAATGTTGTTATTATGGTATAATGAAGTATGCTTGGCCTTATTCTAGGATTAGACTAATTTTTTCCTTAGACCAACGATACTTGTGTTATTTAGGACCTATTTATTCTCCGACGTTGCTTAGATGGTTTAACTCATTATAAAATAGATCTCAAGAAGTAAGTGTATATTAATATAAATTAATAAACATTGACCTCAAGAAGCTAGCATATTAAATTACTATTTTATTTTAATCTAATAGACTTCGTGATGTCGATATTTATTAAATATTTGTAAAAATATTTTATTATATTAAAAGATACTGACATCCCATGGTCAGTAAATTATCAGTTATTTTAAAAAAGAAATGATTATTAATTTCTATTTTCTCTCAAACTCTTCCTCCCTCACTAGTGCACACCCATGCCCCTTGATTGACCCCGGCGCCACTCCAGTTCTGCAGTGCAGCAGAACGTTGCAACACTACTGGTCGCTGGCAGTAGGTAATTTAAACTTTCAAAAATTTAGTTTTAGTCTTTGTTAAACACATATCTATTATTGTATGTTGGTTGTATTGTTTCTCTGAGCCTCGAATTGTGTTCCATTTTGGAATACAAGTTCAAGGTAATATTTTAGACCTTTTGACAAAGTCAAACAGTAAACTCGGATGCGGGTCCCATGATTCCCATTTGATTCTACAGTTGGCCCATTTTCATTTATGTGTCTTTGGTGTTTAAATAACCATATTGATGTTGTGATCTTATTTTTTGATAGCGTGAGAAAATTCTGAGGCGGTTCGCAAGGGAAAGGCTCTGACATTGTAATTTAGAGCACTCGACAGCGACCTAAAGGTAGACAACGGATTCCATTCTCTTATATTGGGTTGAATGTGTAACAACATGTCGATTAGAGAGAATTGAGGGCGCATACCACGTTTTTCTCATTTATTGT